ATATCGGATTTTAGGTATTGATTCAAAGAAATCATTGTGGCTTTTGTAGATTAATGGAATAGGAACATTTTAGGGCAAATTTGATTGAATTTTGTGAAACAATGAGAGAGGCATAAAAAATGTTTGATTTCAGCTTAAAAGAATCTCAAAATTTGGACTTCCATTTTTTTGTTTTGCATTTTAATCCAACAAATTATTGTAAGGTATATTAGAGGGCTTTATTACCAATTTTGAAACAAACTGCAGATGATTTGGTAAAAAAAATGACAGGGAGATTACAATAAAGTCGGATTGGGTTACTGTGACTTAAGAAATGGTGAGGTTTTGATTAAAAACATCTCTCCCAAATGCATTTTTTGATGAAAATAATGGTATTGGAGGGTAAGAATGATCAATTTGTGTACAGATTGACCAAAGTGTGGTTTGAATAATTGAGATGGATTATTTGTCAAAAATAAAAGAAGCTAAAAAAAAACCCTTTTTGTAACTTGGTTTTTACATGAAAGGAGGGTATGGGCAACTCGTCCAAGTCTAGGCAACTACTAGCATGATACCACACTCCCTCAAGCCAACTGGAGCAATTCTGAGTGGGCTTGACTATATTTTGAATCTTGACAAAAACAAAGCCCAATATATTTGACACCACCTAGTAAAATCAAATTTGAAGGGGTATTTTTAGGACCCCAATATTTTGGCGACGTAACATATTGGACCTAGTGACCCACCTCCAAACCAAAAAAAATAAAATAAAGAAATTGCATTCTCATATGCTTTAAAAAAAAAAAAATGACCCCATGATTCAACAAGGATATCAAACTTTTAAGCTTTAAGTGTTAAAGATTTAAAGAGCATTTTTTATAAAAGAGAAAATGTTACTTTTATTATATTTTAGGTGGATTTGAAAAATCTCAGGTCAAAGAATTTTTCCGAGGTGGCTCTTTTGCTCAAGAGAGTAAATGTACAATATACTCCCACACGAGCATTCCATGCGCACTAATTTCCTTTGGTAAAATGAAAGTATAATGAAGGTAATCGTATCCAAGTTTGACAAAGAGGTGTATACACAACGGATTTGCAAACCTTCCAAACAACATTTTACCTAAACTAGAATTTGCATTTGGTCAAGAGTAGCAACTCTCTGTTTCTAATCTCAATTAGGCCTATACCCGATTCCTAATCTATAGTTCCAATCTCCTTGAAAAATTAGTTAACCCCATAAATAGCCCTCATTGAATTTGGTCCACTTGCCGAACCTTATGTAGATCTAATGGACCCTAAAACCCTCAAATTAAATTGGGATCCAACTCTTCAATATTTTTCTTTTTCTCTTATGGGTCGTTTGGGTCCAGGTATTTGCAAGACTTGGTTATGTATTAAATTTTGAGTATACAAATTATAGTATTTATAAAATATAGTTTTTGGAATAATGTTGCTTGGGTAGCTTATGAATTAACCTATTATATAGTAAAGAGCAAGCTTTCTATGCTTCTCCTATAACATAGAAGTTCTGTCCTACCCTTACCATCTAGCCGTCCAATTTTGATCAAGAGAGCTACTCACCGTTTGATCTTAGATTCGACGTCTCAAAGTATTTTATTTTTAGTTTTTTTATACAAATTGTATGAATATGAAATTT